GCCGATTCATCGCTCGGTATAAACAAGTTATCTCCTCAGCGACTTTGACTCGGTCAATCACGTGTACTTTGTCGCCAACGAATAACGGTGACTCGGACGGTTCTTCCACCGATTAAGTTTCAATACGTTACAAGATTCTCCGCTATACATTTAGAACAAGAGTGCTCCGTGTTTTTCGATCTAACATTGACCGGCCTTGTTGCCTCTAACTTCCGAGTGCGCGTTGCGATCCGGTCTGAAAACGTTTCGTCTCACTTCGCGTCTCTGTCGAGGCGGAATCCGCGTTTTAAAGTTTCGGCCTGAGGTCGGCCTCAGTGTTACCGAAACATCTTTGGCGAACGCGACTGGCCTCCAGCGGGGAGGTAGGAGACCGACTGGCCACGAGTCCGCCTCGGCGGGGGCCCCGTTGTATGATCGGAACATTAAATTGCCTATGATATTTTAGTAGCCCGTGTCGGGATTATTTCTGTGTGCTCGTCTGTGCGTGTGTGTGTCGCGCTCCGTCCCGCCGTCCCGTTCTCGCGTGCCCGTGCTTACGGGACCCCGCCACTCTGCCGACGGAACCGAGCAGCCGGCCCGTTTCGTGTCGAGGAGGCTGACTAGCGGCGCGCGTCGAGCGGATCGACGCCGCTTTTAATCTCGCGGTAGTAATTCGACGCCCGCGAGCGCGTCTGGCGCCCAACTTCGCATCTCTCGCGTTCGTTCCGGCGATCCGCCCGGATCGGCGACGGCCGCGTACCGGTCGTAAAAGTCGCCTCTTTCTCTGTCGCGCCCGGGGAAGATCGAAAAAGGCGGGACAAGAATTTGGCGCCCAACGTGGGGCCCACGTAAAATAACTGCATATCGGGCCCGTGAATCTCGCGCGAACGGATGACGACGGGACGTGATAGCATGTTGCATGGGTGAAAGAAGTAGCGGTGGACTAAAAGGGGCCGTCAAACTGACGGTATCTGCTCTGAATTTGTGTGATCAATATTCCAACGGCGTCCTCGGAATTTCGAATCGAGCAACCGCCGTTTATTTGTCGGGTGGGCAAAACAAGCCGTGACCTCGCGATCTCGCGTGTGTACCCTCCGCGTACCGGGATTATGTCGATCCGGGCGGTCGCCGGCCCAAAATAGACCGCTTGCCGGTGAAAATTCCCCAGCATACCGCGACGTGCCGAGCGGATGAGTAGCCCCGGGTCGGACGACGAGTAGGTTTTCGCGGCCAACCGGGAATGACTCCAGGAGGAATTGAGGAAGCGTAGCCTGTCGGTGGACGGGTCGGATTCGGTTCTCGCGTTACGGCTCCTACGTAGGGTGAGAGCGGGTAGAACGACGTATAACGCGGAGGAAGATCCGAGCGGTATGTCGACCGCCGGGCGTCTCGAGCTCCCCGCGGACGGGGTGCCGAGGCCCGACAGCCCAGCGGGGAATACGGACCCTCCGGGGCAAACGGAGATTCCGCTGTACACTCCGGAGCCGGCCACTCCTGCCTCCGCCCGAAAAGGTTCCGCGAGCGACGCGTACAACACGATGCGGAAGTGGAATCTCCGCTTTTCGGGCGCGCGCGGAGAGGACGGTGTAAGACGCGAATAGGTGTGGGCTTCGATTGATCCAGAAGCCCCGGCAGAAGTGCCACAGAACTTCTCGTACCGGTGGCTGGGTTTATAGCGAAGGCGGCAATGATCCAACTCACGTGTAGGAATATAATATAATATATACTTTATTACGGATCTTTATTGCACGTCAAGATGGCCGGTCTTGATCGTGCATGAGGCGAGGAACGACTGTTACAATTTCCTGTCCCGCTCGGACAGCGCCACCAACGACCATGAATACGTCGTGGTGTAGATGGGCAACTCAAGTCGCCACACACTCCCCCCCGAGTGCTAACGCTGGAGAGAAGTCAAAATATAATTTTTGGTATGACGCTGGGTGTCTATCACAAGTAATCGGCGCTGCCGAATATTACAACGAATGTTGCAGGACTATCTGTAATACTGTTGCTTAGAACTAGGGTGTATCACAGAGAATAATATTGCCGCTGCATATTAGGAACGTAATTAACAATACCGCTACGCATACGCAGGATGTATCGTAAAAACTTATAACTAGTACCGCTGCTTAGAACTACGCAGGATGTACATTGCACTGAACTCGCAATATTGTAACATAGAATAAATATTATACCGCTGCTTAAAGACTAACGCATACGCAGGATGTATAAATGATTAATATAGTACCGCTGCTTAAAGACTAACGCATACGCAGGATGTACATAAATCGAAGAAAATACGCGACCGTGTCCAGGATGAAAATTGATTTAATCACGAATGGAACGACGAGAAATATACTTTTACGCGCAATGGAATGACCACTTGTACGTTCCCGTGTCAGGATTTGACTAGTGAGGGGATGTACGTACCGTATTTTTATCCAGTCTGATTTGTACTTTCTTTTTAGGACCAGAATAGGTTTTCACGGTATCGGACGAAGCGCTTGCCGAAGCGGAAGGCTTGTCCGTAGCGTTGGACGTGGATGAATCGTTAGCGATCGTAATGTCGTCCGGTATAAAGTGAGCCGGCTTGAGCCGTTCTATTGATACGGCCGTGGGTCTGCCGTTAATTTCTATATTGTAGACTTTATCCGATGTCCTATCAAGTACCTTAAAGGGGCCCGAATAAGGCCGCTCTAAGGGCTTTTTAACCGCGTCCTTACGGAGGAAGACGTGCGAACACTTCGACAATTCCTTAAATTGGAAAACGCGCTTTTTATAATGGTGTGCCACAGGTACCGGCTTCACCTGACGCATGTGCTGTCGAAAGTCGTCTACAAAAATTTGGGGATCCGGTGTAAACTCCTCCTGGAGGAAAAATTCTCCCGGAATCCGTAATACCGTACCGTACAAGAATTCAGCCGGAGAGGCTTTTGTGTCCATACGTAAATGGGTACGTAACCCGAGTAGTACTGTGGGGAGGACATCCACCCAGTTCGGCGTGTTATGGCACATAATTGCCGCCTTGAAGGTGCGGTGCCAACGCTCGATCATGCCATTAGCGGCAGGGTGATAAGCCGTAGTACGAATGCGTTTGCATCCGATTAATTTGAGAAGGGCTGAGAAGAGCTGCGCTTCAAATTGTTGACCTTGATCGGTCGTGAGAATGTTAGGTGCACCGAAACGAGCGACCCAGTTATCAAAAAACGCCTTGGCTACTGTTTTTGCAGTAATATCCAGGATTGGAATCGCTTCTGGCCAGCGGAAAAACCGATCAATGATTGTTAAACAATACATAAAGCCGTTGCTAGGGTGCAAGGGACCTACTATGTCCATGTGGACGTGGTCGAAACGCCCGTCCGGAGCCGAAAACTGAGCGGGCTCAAGTTTGACGTGACGAGAAACCTTGCACTGCTGGCAATCGGTACAATTACCCGTCCAAGTCGCGACGTCGCGATGCAGGTTAGGCCAGATATACCGCTGTCTTATGACGCGGTCTGTTACTTTCGCGTTAGGATGCGCGGGGTTATGGAAAAGGTCGAAGACCTGTCTTCTAAGAGATGCTGGAATGTAGGGTCTGATCGATTCACCTGACAGTTCACAGTATAGCTCTGCGTTAGAAGAACCCCAAATGAATTTCTTTAATTTAAGCGAGGACGAGTTTGAGACCAAAAGGTGTTTAAGTTCTTCGTCCTCTTTTTGCCTAACGGCGAGGTCTACTAATTCAAATTCGACCGCGAGGCGGAGAGCCTCGACACGAGATTAGTTGTCGGCCACCACGTTTTCAGAACCGGCGAGGTGTTCCAACGCGGTGGTGAACTGCGCTATGTACGAGAGCTGACGTAACTGCCTAGGAGAGGCTTTATCCGACCGTTGCTGAAATGCGTAAACCAGAGGTTTATGGTCCGTTACGATTTTAAAATTACGACCTTCGAGGAAGTGTCGAAAAAACTTTATTGCTTCATAAATCGCGGTTAATTCGTGGTCGTACGCGCTATAATTCCTCTGCGCCGGAGAGAATTTCCTAGAGAAAGAAGCTAATGGTCTCCAACCGCCAGAGGTATACTGCTCAAGGGCCCCACCCATGGAGAAGTCCGAAGCATCTGACACGACGCGAGTGTCGACAGAATTGGACGGGTGTGTTAGCAACGCGGCATTAGCAAGGTCGGTTTTGGCCTTGTCGAACGCGGTTTCGACCTCGAGCGTCCACTGTATTTCGCGTTTATCATTTTTACGCGAGTCAGTTAAATATGCGTGTAGCGGGGCTTGAACGCGAGCGGCATGTCGAAGGCTGCGCCTATAAAAATTCAACGCGCCTAAAAAACGACGTAGTTCCGCTACGGTCTTTGGCTTCGGGAGATCCCGAATAGCAGCCACTTTTTCCGGAGAGGGTTTCAGACCGAATTTATTTACGCGATGACCGAGGAAAGTCAACTCCTCTACACCGAACACGCATTTGGATGGGTTAATGACTAACCCGAATTCCTTGAGTCTTTGAAAGACAATGCTTAGATGTTTCCTATGCTCCTCCAAGGAAGAGGATGCGATAAGAATGTCATCTATATAAGCAAATGCAAAGTCGAGATCCCGTAGGGCGTGGTGAATGTACCGCTGGAAAGTCTGAGCGGCATTCCGTAGACCGAATGTCATGGAGACAAATTCAAATAAACCGAACGGCGTTATGACGGCAGTCTTCGGTATATCGGCCTTTGCCATTGGAATCTGGTGGTAGGCCTTGAAGAGATCAAGGGAGGTAAAGATCGACTTACCTAATAAATTTGAGGTAAAGTCGTGTAGGTACGGTATCGGATATTTATCCGGTATTGTGACGGCATTTAAGTGACGGTAATCACCGCACAACCGCCAATCACCGTTACCTTTGCGGACGAGGTGGATTGGACTAGCCCAAGGACTGCTGGACGGCCTACAGATGCCTAATTCAGACAGCCTTTTAATCTCAGCCTTCGCTGCCTTCAACTTATCGGGGGGTAGCCGGCGTGACCTCTCCGCGACGGGAGGACCGTTAGTCGAAATGTGATGTTCGACAGCACATGCGGCAGGCGAAAGTGCCTGACCGCGACCGGTAACCTCAAGGAATCCCGAAAGTCCGCAAATTTATTGCCGTTACTGACTATTGAAATTTTAATTTCCGGAACCGCTAAAATCTGTCCGGACGATGACAAAGAAGTCACGCTGTCGACTAGACGACGTTTGTGCAGGTTGACAATTAATTTGTAATGTGTCAACGCGTCTGCACCGAGGATCGCAAAGGGCACGTTCGCTACGCGGAAATTCCACGTGATAGGACGCCGCAAGCCAAGATCTAAAGTAAGACGACGCTCGCCGAAAGTATCTATTATAGTATTGTTCGCTGCAAAAAGTTTACATTCTGAGGGCGTGTTTCTATCGCGTAAGGACGCTGGGAGGAGAGAGATCTCCGCGCCCGTATCTACCAAAAACCGTTGACCAGTGATCTGATCGAAAACGTGAAGACGGCTTTGCTTGTGCCCGACATCCCCGACCGTCTCTGCGCGGGATGCGCGAATTAGTTTTCCGCCGCGTCATCTTTCCACGAGCAAGGCTTGCCGCAGGACGTGGCTTTCTTTCCGTATTTACGATGAATGTAGCAGTAGCCTGTCTTATCATCAGGTTTGGCTGCTGCATCATCATGCTTAGAAGTATTACGCTTACGGGAGGTGGATCTGTCTCGGCGCAATTTTGCGACCGAGGTGCTCAGAGACTGAATTTGCTTGGTGAGCTTATCAAACTGCTCGGCAGTGCTCAAAGGAGCTTTAGGACGAGCGCCTTTGGATTCCTTCTTCGGCGCGACGACGCCGGCAGCGGTACTGGGTCCGTTAATATCCGCGAGTTTATCCGCGATTTCTGCTAATTTTTGCAGGTCAGGTTCATTCATCGCAACCAAAATGGCTTTATGCGTGTCGGGCAACAACTCTATAAAGAGAGATCTTAATACGGCAGGACTGCATTGCCCTCCGTTGAGCTGATTCATGTGACTTAATAAGTGTGAGGGCCTCCGGTCCCCCAGCACCTGACCTTTCAACAGTTGCCGTAAGCGGGCCTCCGGTGAGACCGCGAACGTCGCGAGAATCCTGTCTCTGAGCACTTTGTACAGGTTATCGGGCGGTGGATCCGCTGTAATCAAATCTCGGATGTGTGAAATGACCTCAGGATCGAGGCTAGCGACAAGGTGATCGACTTTCGTACTATCCACGGTTATATTCGCGTTTCGGAACGACGCTTCGACTCGCAAAAACCAATCTTCCGGGGCCTGTCGCCAGAAGGGCGGAATCTTCGGCACCCGGTATGATTCTACGCGCGCATCTTCCTCTGCCATAATTAAACTATGTGACGCGTACCGCGAACCGAGAAAAATTGAGAAACAAAAATAAAAACTGAGGAGAAATACCAGGACGAGGCAAAACGTATGCCTCACGGTCTCGAAGTTCTTGAAGAGGCGTCGTCCCTCGAAGGAGGTAGAGCTCGAACTCGAGGCGTCGGCGAGAGGTTAACTGCGCTGACCTGCGTTCCGCCGGGATGACGGCGGTGCCTGCTGGATGCGCTGCCAGGGGCGTACCTCGATGCCTATGTTGCGTGCGCGCGCCAGGGGCTGAATGCGCGACGCGTCCGCCGGGATGGCTGCGCGGGATGCGCGCCCGCCGGGATGACTCGCTGGCGCGAAGATGTCCGCCGGGATGGCTGCGCGGAATGCGCGCCCGCCGGGATGACTCGCTGGCGCGAAGATGTCCACCGGGATGGCTACGCGGGAATGCGCGCCCGCCGGGATGACACGTGTGTGCGTAGGCGTCCGCCGGGATGACTGCGCAGGAATGCGCGCCCGCCGGGATGACACGTGCACTGACCTGGGTGTACGCCTTAGGTTTTGATTCGGCCGTGTCGCCGGAAATACCTCGGGATGAGGTCCCGATGACTTGAGTTCGGGCGCGGAAAACGGCCGATCTTCTTGCGTCACCCAAAATGGCCGCCGTCGCTGTTCCTTTGTCGACGGTAGATTCGCCCGAAGTTTCGGGAAGGCCCAAAAATTCGGGCCGACTGAGGATCCTCGTAGTTTGCGGGGCGTGGTCGAGGTCCTCCCGTGTGCCGCAGGTCCGCCCAGGAAGCTGGCGATGGCCTGTGCCCAGTCGTCGCTCTTGGTATGCCGCCAATGCGAACGTGAAACGCGCGGATGCGCGATCACGTCGGGGTCACCACTTGTGGGCTTATATAAATTCAGAAGCCCCGGCAGAAGTGCCACAGAACTTCTAGTGCCGGTAGCTAGTTTATTGCGAAGGCGGCAATGATCCAACTCACGTGTAGGAATATAATATATACTTTATTACGGATCTTTATTGCACGTCAAGATGGCCGGTCTTGATCGTGCATGAGGCGAGGAACTACTGTTACAATTTCTTGTCCCGCTCGGACAGCGCCACCAACGACCATGAATACGTCGTGGTGTAGATGGGCAACTCAAGTCGCCACATAGGCGATACAAGTAGCGACACCTCTTGGATCGCACAGACAATACAATGTAACGGGTCGGCGACCCGGAAACGCGCAGCTCCTCTTTTCGTTCTGGAGCATTCTAGAGTCTTCGACGAAGATCGGAAGGATCCGAAGTTCCGGGCGAGCCGGCACTCTCCTTTCTGACGAGGAACACGCCGGACGTGTCCTCGGGAGTCGCTCAGTCTGTTAGTGTACTAGTAGTTCTCTTATTACAAATATACATACTTATACTAGTTGTAAGCTACCGACGCTCTCCCACCCCGACTATCGGGGATCATATGCTAAAGACGAGAGACGCGCATGCCATTCGATCCGTAAGGCATGATCGAGGAATCGAGCGGTCTCTCGTCCTCTTTCGTTCCGGGCCGCTCAACCAGTGAACACGTAATAAATCCTATACCAAAGAAGGACGCTCTATAAGTACTTCGTGGAAAACCAAATCTGAGATGTATTGGACTCTGGATCAGAGGATCCCTGACCAGAAGAAAGCGAGATTTTGACGTAAAGGCCCAGGAACATGAGAGAGCCATCGAGGGACATAATAAGAGAGCCATCGAGGGTTACAGAATTAAGATGAGTACATCGGTCGCTTCTCATTATGATAAGATATTTTAATGTATTAGATGAAAGTGGAATCACAAAGAAAAGAAGATATAGAGATCGTCGACGTTATCGTGTTAAAATATCCGTTGAAATTAAAGTGTACTGACCTCGCGGACTAATAAACAAAATAGTTAGCTTGACTTTGAGCGAAATCGCTTACAATAATATTCCGTGCTATCGTGGAAGTAAAAGTAGGATTTAGGATTTCA